GAGCGCATTTACTCGGATTTTTTTTTTGGTTATGGCTGGACCTGTCAAGGCTGCCTACGTACCTCGAAAGAGGATCAAACCAAACGTAGTTCGATTTGCTGAGTAAAAGACCGTGGGAAGTTTACTCGGAAAGCTAGAGTGACTGGGAGTCGCTAGCTCGCGTTTTTTTTTTTTTAGCGCCAGTCGCTAGCTCGCTTACTTACGTTGTGTAATATCTTCGGAGGTGCATCGAGTTCCAAGCTCGCGGCATCGGTTCGCCTGTTGAAGTTTCCTAATGATAGACTCCTGGCTTAACTACCTTGATGATCTGATAAGGGCCCTCCCAATTAGCGCCGAGCTTTCCAGCGTTTGGTTCCTTTGTGTTGTCGAAGACTTTGCGTAAGACTAAGTCCCTCATGGCCAAAGGTCGGGGTCGAACTTTCTTGTTATAGTAGTTCTCGATCTGATTTTGGTAATTCTGAATACGAAGCAAGGCTTGATCTCGCCTTTCTCCGATAGCGTCGAGGGCGTCCAGCAACATCTCGCTGTTGAGCTCGACGTACCGTGGCATTCTCGAGCGTCGCAAGCTAGTGACCTTTACCTCGGCTGGTGCCATGGCTTCGACTCCGTAAGCAAGAGAGAAGGGTGTCACTTTGGTTGCACCTTGAGGCGTGGTTCTGTGCGACCAAGGGACTCCGTCCAATTCGTCTGCCCACAATCCCTTCTTTAGATCGAGTCTCTTCTTAATTCTGTCGATGATCATTTTGTTCGAGGATTCGGCTTGGCCGTTGCTTTGCGAGTAACGAGGTGTGGACATGTTCAGGCGGATCCTCCACTTGCTATAGAATTCGCTGAAATTCTGCGCGATGAACTGGGAGCCGTTATCGGTGACGATTTCATAGGGCAGACCGTGGCGACAGATGACGTTTTTCCAAACGAACTTCTGGACTTCCCGTTCAGTGATCGATGCGTAAGATTTGGCCTCTATCCACTTGGTGAAGTAAATTGTAAGAACCAAGATGTAGCGTTTTTGCCGAGATGGAGGAATCGGTCTGATGATGTCCATCGCCCGTCGCATGAACAAATATGGAGCTGTCATTGTTCGTAATTCTTTGGTAGAGAAAAGGATCGTCAAGGCATGTCTCTGACACTTGTCGCACTACCGCGCGAACGCTTCGCAGTCGGTGATCATAGTCGGCCAATAAAAGCCTAGACTTTTTACTTTCAAGGCGAGAGCTCGTCCACCGGAATGGTTACCTCTGGCTCCTTCACCATGGATACATCGGAGTATGACCTTGTTAGCCATCCATCTGTGAAGTATGCCGTCGGTGACGACGTAGTTGGAACTTCGCACCTAAAGTCGTCGGGCCTTCCACTTCTCTTCGGGGAGCTTACCATGTGCTAGGAAGTCGATTAACTCGGTCCTCCAGTCTGGCTCTGCTTCCTTAGGCTGGGTGATTGCGAGAACGTGCGTCGCCTCGGCTTCTGATTCTTCAGCGAGATCAATGCTTGGCCTGTCGATCTGGTGAACTGGGATCGTTCTTTGGACTTGGTCCCCGAGCTTACTTCCTAAAGCTGCGAGGGCGTCTGCACAGATGTTTTCCCCGTGTGGGACTTTCACGAGTTTGAAGAACTCGAGCCCTTTGACTAGAGCCCGAACTATCTTTAGGTACGCATCCATTCGCAGTAGGTGCTTAGTCGCTTTGCTTTGACGGCCTGTGCGAGGCGTAGCCCGCCAATAAGCGATTCGTACTCGGCTTCGTTATATGAGGCGGCGAAGCCGAGTCGAAATGACTGCCTGATCAACTCGCCAGTTGGACCCCTACTCCGAATCCCTTGTTTGTTAACGAACCGTCGACGTGCAGAATCAAGTTGCTATTCGGCAAGACTAGATCCTGCGTGAGATCCAGTGGTAATTCGACCATGAAGTCGGCTAGGACTTGCGTCTTGAGTGTTGTCCGATTTCAAAAGACGATGTCGTGTTCGCTGAGTTTGATTTCCCATTTGGACAAACGTCCGGACTGATTGGTGTTCTGCATGACGGTGCGAAGGGGGAGATCAGTGAGGACCTCAATCGTATGCGACTGGAAGTATGGTCTTAGTTTCCTTGCGGATGTGATGACTGCCAAGGCCATCTTCTCGAGCGTGGATAATGTGTCTCGGGGGTCCGTCATGCATTTGCTCGTATGGAATATTGGCTTTTGCTTGCCTCGGTCGTCCTTAACGATTACACTTCAGACCGCGATTGACGAGACAACGATGTAGAGATAGAGCGTGTCCTCGGGTTTGGGCTTAGCTAAGACGGGAGGAGTGGTGAGATAAGTCTTCAACTGACCGAAGGCTTCTTCACATTTCTCGTCCCAGATGAAGCGCAACAGCTCGTAGAATGGGAGGTACTTATCGGTTGATCGCGAGATGAAATGGTTTATGGCGGCGATTTGCCCCGTCAATCATTGGACCTCCCGACTATTCTTCGGGCTAAGGAGATCAAGGATCGCAGAAATCTGCTTGGGATTCGCTTATATTCCTCACTACGTAACGATGTAGCCGAGGAATTCTCCCGAAGTGACACTGAAGGTACACTTTGTGGGGTTCACCTTCATTCCATACTCGTTTAAGGTATTAAAGCACTCGCGCAGGTGAGCAGGGTGGTCGCTAGCTCGGAATGACTTGACCAGCATGTCGTCGATGTAAACTTCCATTGTCTTACCGAGTTTGTCGGCGAACATCTTGTTTACCAATCGTTGGTATGTCGTGCCAGCGTTCTTCAACCCAAACAAGCATGACCTTGTAGCAGTAGGTTCCTCTGTTGGTAATGAACGCAGTCTTCTCTTGATCGTCAGGATGCATAGTGATTTGGTTGTACCCGGAGAATGCGTCTATGAACGTGAGGAGCTCGTTTCCTGCCGTTGACTCGACCAGGCGATCGATATGTGGAAGGGGGAAGCTGTCTTTGGGACACGCTTTGTTCAGATCCGTGAAATCAACGCAGACGGGCCGTTTCCCGTTCTTCTTCCTGACCACCACTGGGTTCGCTAACCACTCGGGATACTTCACTTCCGTGATCGACCCGGCGGCGAGCAGTCGTTCGACTTCCTCGTTGACGGCTTTGGATCATTCCGGACCGAGCTTCCGACGTTTCTGCCGGATAGGTTTGAAAGTTGGGTCGACGTTAAGCTCGTGGGATGTGATCTTTGGGTCGATCCCTTTCATGTCTGAGGTGGTCCATGCAAAGGTCGACACGTTCTCCTTGAGGAAGGCGAGGATCGTTTCCTGCATTTTGTCTAAGATGTACGCTCCTATCCAGACGATCTTGGTGGGATCCTTGTCATCTATCTGCACCTCGAGGACTTCATCCTTTTGGGTGTAGATCTTTTGGATCGGTTTCGCGACAGCATTCACTCGGGGGATCGGCTGTTGAGGCTTGACGATGGCTATGAGGAGATCTCGCGCGGCCTGTTGGTCACCCCGTAGTGTTTTGATTCGTCCATCGTTGCCAGGAAATTTGATGCACTGTTGATACGTTGACGAAATAGCTTTCATTGAGTGAAGCCACGGTGTGCCGAGTATGACGTGGTAAGGCGCGTCCGTGGCGATAACAGAGAACTTGACCATTCGGGTCACTCCGACAGCATAAACCGGAAGTCTAATGGTACCGATCATTTCTTCCGAGACTCCGTTGAACCCAGTAAGGGTGTGGTTAGATGGTTTCATGAGATGTAGGTCAGTTCTCATCTTCTCGAGGGTCCTGAGGAAGATGAGGTCAAGCGAGCTACCGGTATCGATTAGTACCTTGGTTACTTTACAGTCTCTGATACCCAGCTCGACAAGTAAGGGATCGTTGTGCGGCATATGGACTCCGAGCGTGTCTTTGGGATAAAACGTTATCGGGAGGTCGTTATTCGGCATGGATGGCCATTTCTACGAAGTTTTAGCTTGACGTTGGTGAGCTTTGATTGACCGAACCGAGTCACCACATGGGGGTGAACCTCCCATGATGACGTTAGCTCGTTTACTTTCGAGTTGAGTTCGTAGATCGTAAGATGAGTGTTCGATAGTCGTTAGCTCAGACTTTGTATGGTTGTCTCTGTTTGCATCGAGCTGCTGCCGTAGATCATGCGTTTCTTGTTTGCGGAGCTTGAAACGGAGGTCGGCGACCTTCGAGTTCAGATGGCTTCTCAAATCTGTCGTGATAGGGGACGAGCTGAGTGCGACTGGAGCAGTGAGCTCGTCTTTTGATTCGATGGATTTGGACAGCGATGTCTCGGCTGTGACGTTTCTTCGCTTTAGTTTATGTCGTAAGTCGATCAAGCTTAAGCCATCCCGTTCTGTAGGCCGTTTGTTAAGGTACGTACGCAAATCTACATGCGTGAGCTCGGATTTGTTGCTCGGTGTTGAGCTCGGGCGTGCGAGGATAACTTCGACCCTTCGCCAGTTTCTCGGCTGCTCCTCGTCGGCGGATGACTCTTTTTTTCTTGTTCCTTGGGAGCCTTTTCCTCGGCGTCCTTCTTTTGCTCGGGTCGCATGAGATCCGATGGTAAAGGTTTTGATGGCACATCTAATCAAAAAAATCAAAACAAAGGATTTTTCTTCAATTACAGTTCAGATGAAAAGTTTCGGTTAATTGAACTCGTCAGTAACAGAAGGAATAAAGATAGTGGGGTTTGTTGCAAAGGTACAAACCCAAAGGTTAATATAAACGAACATGTCGAACTGGAAATTACCTAAAAATTATGATTCATAATTTTCATAGCTTAAAGAAGAAAGTGGAGATATGTGATAGATTTTTAATGGGATTTAGATTCTGAGATTTAGTAAAATAAGAGGTTTGAGTTGGGAATAAATTGGTCATGATTTGGTAGTCTTTGATAAGGGTATTAATATCTTTTATATATAATAAAGTGTGTCACAAGTGCAGTGTGTCTCTGGAAATAATATAAAAGTCATAAAGTGTTTCTTGGTGTAAAAAAATCTAATAAAAATTAGTTTAGGAAAATTTCTCTTTGAGTTTTGTTTTTACTCTTTTGTCTCTTTTTCTTCTCTCTCTTGGTGGCTGCTTCTTATAGAAGTAGAACCCTTTTTGGCTACTGTCCCCTTCTCATTTCGTGTTACTTGATCGTGGGTTCCCTGAAATAACCGATCTTTCTTTCTGGGTTTCTGCAATTTCCGATTTTCTGATCATGGCGATCGTTGAGAACACCGGAGCCGGTACAGATGTTGGTGCGATCTCCCCATCGCCGCCGTCTTCAGTCACCAGCCAAGGATCAGGAGTCTCTGCCAACGACGATCAGGTTGAAAATGTAGTCCACGGTGAGATCGGATCCCACGCGGTAAGATCCGACGGTGGAGAGAGCTTCAAGCGCGAGATGAGAGAGCTCAATGAGCTTTTAACTAAGCTTAACCCCATGGCTGAAGAGTTTGTTCCTCCCTCACTGACTAAGCAAGGAGGTAACGGCTTCAACGGTAGTTTCTTCACTGTCGCTGACTCTTTCCTTGGTGCAGCCGGATATTTCCCCGTCAACGAAGACGGCGGTTTCCGACGGGTAAATAAAACACGTCTCTTGTATCTTGTCTCTTCGTGCTTAGTTGTTTGTTTAACTTCGGTCGCTATTGTCTTCATGTGCGTTTATAAGCTAAAGTTCTCACCTTTGCTTAGTTTTGTTTTTTTTTGTTAGATTTGATCTCTAGTGAAGCTCTCACTTCTTGTCTTTTTGGGACTAAATATTGTTAATGTTCTTTATCTTGCTTCCTGTTGTGAAATTATATGCTTTGGGTCTCGTTTTCGTTTCTGTTACTTGAAACAGAAGAAGTCGTTCGGACCACAAGGGAAACGGAGGATGAATCCTCGGACAAGTATGGCTCAGCGTGAAGACGTCATTAGAAGAACTGTCTATGTGTCTGATATTGACCAACAGGTTTCAAAAAAGCGTTCACTTTCCTTCAATGGTTCTCCTCAGGCTTACTTTATTCTCACATTATACTATCTTAATTTTTGTGGTTTAGGTCACTGAGGAGCAGCTTGCTCGTTTGTTCATCGGCTTTGGACAGGTCTAAGGTTTAAAAAAAAAAAAAAAAATTCATGTTTGTTCGTGTTGTGTTCTTTGTTTTAACTCTTTTTTTTCTGTTATTTAGGTTGTTGACTGTCGCATTTGCGGTGACCCAAACTCAGTACTTAGGTTTGCTTTCATCGAGTTCACTGATGAATGTATGTATCATTAGTTTCATTATGTGTTCTGTTTTTTGGAAAATGTTTGTATGGGTTTGACAATTTGGGACTTGTAGTGGGTGCAAGAACTGCGCTGAATCTGTCGGGGACGATGCTGGGATTCTATCCTGTGAAGGTTACGCCGTCTAAGACTGCTATTGCACCGGTTAACCCGACATTCTTGCCAAGGGTGAGATTTCTTTTCTTCGGTTCATCACTTTCTGAGTGCAAAGTTGTGTGCTTTTTAGAATTAAGACGTTGATTTCTAGTCCTGTTTTGGTTCTTAGACCGAAGATGAGCGTGAGAAGTGTGCCAGAACTATCTACTGCACTAACATTGACAAGAATGTCACTCAAACGGACATAAAACTGTTTTTTGAGGCTGTATGTGGAGAGGTACACCGTCTGAGGCTTCTTGGAGATTATCATCATCCTACTAGAATCGGTTTCGTGGAGTTTTTCATGGTAGGCAATTTCTTTTTTATCATTGAACTGAACCTTGAATCTTTATCAGAACATTTTATAAAGTACATATTCTTAGGTTTGTATCGATAGTTAAAGTTTCAGTGTATCGTTCTTTTCTCTTCCACAGGCTGGAAGTGCAATAGCTGCTCTCAATTGCAGTGGCATGCTTCTTGGTTCTTTACCAATAAGGTCCAAGAACAGACCATTTTTCTTAAACATTTTGTGTTACTTGGTTATGAATATGAAAGTTGACTTGTTTTTGTTTGTTTGATTCACAGGGTGAGTCCCTCAAAGACACCAGTTCGTTCCCGCTCTGTCCCGCGACAACAAATGCATTGACAGTAGCTGCTACAAGTTTTATACATATCTCTGCTCTCATCGGCATGTAAAGGTGTTTGTCTGAATATCAAACGTCTTTTGTTTCCCCCTATGTAATGCTCCTTGGAAGCTTGATGATGCGCTTCTGTTGCTTTGGTATCGTTTGGGGCGTAGGGAGTTTTAAATTCGGTTTGGGTTTTAACTTTTAGAGAAAAAAAGTCACATAGAGCAGAAGAGAGAAACACTTGAGAGTGAGAGGCTTTTGAAGATTGTCTCTGTTTAATGGGAGTTCTTAGTCATTTGTACTATTGCACCTGGACATCTTAGAAACCTGCTTTTGTTCGTAAATGTTTATGACTGGATCGTCTTCTTTTGTTCGAGCAATATCTTAAACTCAAACGTTTAGGTATATATTCTTGCTTCGGCCATTAAGGAAAACAGAAAACAAATAAAGTAGTTGTATTAATACGGAAGCGCGTCGAACTCTCCGAAACGTGTAATTCGCAATTTCTAGACACCTAAGTTTGAATTGAAACCGTATGTGAAGCATACATAACAGAGCTTTATTTAAACGTAGCATTTCAGCATCTTTCAGGGAAGGGTATTAGAAAAGTTAACTTGGTCAAATTTGAACATCTCAAAGCGAACGCTAAAACTTGAAAAACGCCGAAAGGTAGTTTCGTCATTTGTTAGTACCTCACGTCACAAGCATGCATGCTATGTGCTGTCCAGTGAAACTTACACCAGCTGATCTCTCCTTGCGCTTCTCGAGAACATCTCTTCTATATTCGTTTTGACATTTTATAGTGTCTTCCAAAACAAACAAAATACCAAAAAATCTTATATAAATTATGTTGTAACAAAAATATGTACGAGACAGTTCTTTTTTTTTCTCTTACTAAATAAATTGTACTATATGGTTGTGTGATTATATTTTAGAAAAAATAACTAGGATAGCACTAAAATTTTTTTTGTCACAAATATAGCACTTAAGAATAAAAATGATCAAAATAATACTTAATGTTTTACCAAAAAACATAAATATACACTTATATCCCTATGATAAATTAATTTAGACATTCGGGTTTAGAATTAAGGGGTGTGATTTAGGATTTAGGGTTTAGAGTTTAGGGTTTAGGGTTTAGAATTTAGGTTTTAGGGTTTAGAGTTGGAGAGTTGGGTTTTGGGATAAGATTTCAACTTTTGAAAAATAAAAAAAAATTTAAAATTTTCAAAAGATAAAATGCTATTTTGGTCATTTTAATTTTTAGGGCTATTTTTATGACGTAAACTTAAAAAGTGCTATTTTGAAGATTTACCTTATATTTTAATGTATCACTAAATTTTGATCCGAAAACACTATTTTTTTTGGATTATAACAAAGTTTGATATGACTAATTTTTTTTACGAGATTTTGTATATTAATATGCTATAATGTGTCATTATATTTTTATCCGTGCTTCAAAAAGATAGATTTATTAGGTTATAAACGAAGTTTGACATAAATTAGTATTTTGAGATTTTGTATATTATTATGTCATAAGTCATATTATATCGAATAAGGAAGTCTGATTAATTTATATAATTTATGAATTAGTTTCTTTTAGATTATGTGTTTACACTTTTATGTGATTCTTTTTAGGCATATGCATTTCATCCGAACCCAAAAAATAAACCAAAACTGACACGAAAATATAGATATATCCTGAATCGAACAAAGTACATGTTGGGTTTTCTTTTTAAACCTAGTCTCGGTTTGCGTCCATATACCTAAAGTGCCTGAAATGTTTTGTGTATATTATGTTAGGTAATTGTTTCAGATATGTTTTTAATATTAAAAATATTTTTTTAAGCTCTGGATTCGAGCTTTTGGCTATAGTTTTGGGTTTTAATAAAATTGTTAACTTATATTTTGGGTAATATACTCATTTTATAATTAATGAGCAAATATTGTAGGTCCATACTGAGCATAAAATATGGTACATAAATTATTGCATATTTAGCGGATAATATTTTTTAAAGAAAGTGTATCACATGAAATAAGGAGATATGTATAGTTAGAGTAATTAAAGGTATGATAAAAATAATAAATAGTTATACTTTTTTCCAACAACCTTTTTATAGTAGATTGTTAGAATGATTCGCTTTTAATAGTATAAATAATATATACAAACTTAAATTTCGAAAGATAAATAACTTTGAGAAAAAAGAAAACCTATTTTCAAAAAAAAAAAAAATGTATATATACATATATATATATATATATATATATATATATATATATAAGACTGTTGATAGTGGGATAAATAATGACACAAATTCTACATTTTTACAATGTTTTTTCGATTCTAAATTTGGACTCTAAACTTTTCAGTCAAAACAAAGACTTAAGCAAAGAACATGAAGAATGCGGAGGAAACCGTCAATCATCGGACGACCGCTGCCAGCGTGTTGACCGGTGTAGGTGAGGTTTTCAGCAAATTTTCCGGTGCTTTTCAAGCAAATCTTGGAAACTTTTCTGATGAAGTTTCAACCACTACAACAAATATAGGTATTGATAGCATATTATAATAGCACAATTTCCGTAACTGCTATGGTAAGGTAATTACAAGCCTAGATAACAAATATATAGCATTTTACTTATGCTATGCCCAAAAATTAGTTAAACGGGATTAATAATACACTAATCACCCGAGTATATACACTTACTGCCAACACTTAGAAAAAAAGGAGGGTTTTCGCGGTCAATATTGGTCAATATAGTTTTAATAGCATTAAAAAAAAGGAAAAGGGGATCTCTTCTGTTTTGTCTGTCGGCTTCTCTTCTTCTCCGTCGATAGAGCTCCACTATATCTCCGTCCGTCGGCTTCTCTTCTTCTCCGTCGGATTCCTCGTCGCTCACCAAGATTAACCTCCTCCATCATCCTACCCAAATCTCCAATCCGACCCATCATCATCTCCGATTTCACATCGAGGTTAGGTTTTGTGTTCAAATTTGTTTCCATTAATCGTATTCGATTCTCCAATTAGATTTCGCGATCATCATCTCTACTATCAAATCGAGCTTATAAACTGAAATTGAATCCTTACATAGACTTGATAAGATTAGTTAGGTTATAATGTCGATTGATGCATGTCGATTAGTTAGGTTTGATTCTGTCGATTGATTCATGATATGAAAGTTTTTTTTTTTGGCTGCTACATATTTGTAGAATGATTTTTCCATCGTTTTGGTTCATATGTGTTTCCGTTAATCTCATTTTTTTTTCCTCAGGTGTTGGTTCGTGTCTTCCGTCTGCTATATTCTGAGGAGGTTAGACCCTTATATTTACTTATTCTCATTTTTAATCATGTGTAGACTTTGTAGACATTGAGTTTGTTGTTTGAGGTTAACACTTTGAACTGTAATTTATATTGTCATTGCTTCCTGAACCATGTATGCTTGTTTGAACTGTGGCAAGGGTCTTAACAATGTTGGACAAGTCTTGGGTGCATTTATGTAGGTATGTAAATTTTATTAAGTGTTCTGTTTATGCATTTAGCCTATTCTTGTTTTGTAACACTTTTTTTTTTGTTTTACATGAACTTAAGAGTTGATTCTGCATATGAGAGAGGTGCTAGGAGTTTTGTCAATGATGTTACTGCTAAGTTAGGAGTTAATGGGAAGATTGTATGTCCATGCGCCCGATGCCGTAATCTAGATCGCCATACCAGTGAGGAGGTGGTCTCTCATTTGGTTATATATGGAATGGATGATGCTTACAAGGTACGCTCGGATTGGTTTCACCATGGAGATGGTAACTCAGTTGATGTAGTGGAAGTTAAAGATAGATGCTGGAATGCTGAGATCCTTAGTTTATATGAAGCCGCAAATTGCTTAGATGAGGATTTAGCCATTCGGGGGTCAGAGTTACGTGAGTCAGTTGAGGGTGAGGATAGGAAAGAAGATGAGTTTTTAGCAAAACTTGCAGAGGCTGAAACCCCCTTGTATCCAGCATGTTCGAGTCATAGCAAGTTATCAGCTGTAGTCTCATTGTTCAGGATTAAGTCTCACAATGGGTGGTCAGACAAGAGCTTTGATGACTTACTGCATACATTGCCCAACATGTTACCTGAAGACAATGTGCTGCACACATCAACTTATGATGTCAAGAAGTTTTTGAAATCTTTTGATATGGGATATCAAAAAATTCATGCTTGTGTGAACGACTGCTGCGTATTTAGAAAGAAACTGAAGGCTGCTGAGAGTTGCCCACAATGCAAGGCGTCTAGATGGAAGACCAACATGCATACTGGTCAAATCAAGAAGGGTGTTCCACATAAGGTTTTGAGATACTTTCCAGTAATACCTCGCCTAAAAAGGATGTTCAGATCGGAGCAACTAGCAATGGATTTACGATGGCATTTCAATAACAAGAGCACAGATGGGAAACTGCGCCATCCTGTAGACTCTGTTACTTGGCAGTCAATGAATGACAAGTATCCTGAGTTCGCAGCTGAGGAGAGGAACTTGCGACTTGGACTTTCAACAGATGGGTTTAATCCCTTCAGTATGAAGAACAGCCGATACAGTTGTTGGCCTGTGTTACTGGTGAATTACAACATGGCTCCTGACCTATGTATGAAGGAGGACAACATAATGCTCAGTCTGCTGATTCCAGGACCCCATCAACCGGGTAATAGTATTGATGTATACTTAGAACCTCTTATAGAAGATTTAAAACATCTGTGGTGCATAGGCGAGTTAACATACGATGCAGTTAGTAAGACAACCTTTATGCTTAAGGCAATGCTTCTTTGGACTATTAGTGATTTCCCCACTTAAAGGAATCTTGCTGGTTGTAAAGTGAAGGGTAAGATGGGTTGTCCTATATGCGGGAAGCACACAGATGGTTTGTGGCTGAGTAATAGTAGGAAATTTGTATTTATGGGCCACCGGAAATGTTTGCCTCCCTTACATAGTTTCAGAGGAAAGAAGACTTGGTTTGATGGGAAAACTGAACATGGGACAAAGGGAAGGATACTGACGGGAAGGAATGTCTCATTCCTGCTGCGAAATTACAAGAATGTGTTTGGTAATAGAAAACAGTCTGCGAAAAAGAGAGCTGCTCGAGTTGACATACCATCTGATAACGAGGAGGAACTAAGTGAATCTGATGAAGATGAAGTTATGGGAGAGAAAGACAAAGAGGAATTGTCTAGATGGAAGAAACGTTCGATTTTTTTCTCATTGCCTTATTGGGAGGTATGCATAAAGATTCAATTTACTCGATGGTTAATTATTGAACACTTGTTCTGATTGATTTCTTTATTTTCTTTGACATGTGTAGGAGCTCCCTGTTCGACATAATCTAGACGTTATGCACGTCGAGAGGAATGTGGCTGCAAGCTTGATTGCCACATT